TTAAATTTAGTTGAAAATTTTATAAAAATTTGAGAATAGAGGAGTCAAGTAATATTTTTTGAATTTCTAGAGGCTAAGTGATATTGTTAGAAACCTTAGAACAGGTTTCTGAAATTACCCCACGAAATTAACACTATACTCGTACCTTTAAGTCACTAGGAGTGTAGGAGATATAAACCACAAATCAATTCATTACCCGCCAGACATAGTAATTAACACTTCAGATTAGCGCAATGTTATTGACCTCAAAGAATATTATATCACCCCAAAAAAAGAATTTTATATCACCAAATTCTAATTTTGGGTGAATTCGGATTTGAAGCCTCTCTAGTTGGATTCCTCCAGTTCTGTTCAATTGTGTAAATTGACACAATTTTGACGTAAGTTGATATACTTTTGGTCTAATTGTGAATTTACACCAACATTTACAATAATAAAGTATGTGTTAGTAAATAACTTGGTGTTAATTTTGTATTTTTTTTTAAATTTACCCTTGTCTCTATTTTCCTTCAAACCTTTATCTATACAATATATAAAGGAAGAGCGTCACTTTGTGGTGAAATACACCGTGTCGTCGTTCTTTAAAATTTCTAATATACCCTCAATTATAAGAGCAAATTTGTCTCAATTGCAAATAGCTATTTGAATCATAAGGTAATTATCTATTCAGTTATCAATTTACTACAACTTTCTCATACTAACTTCCAACTCCCACATATTCTTCTCCAATTCCATCATGTCCGTTTCATGTATGATTATCTACATTATAATAGAATTTGACCCATAAAATCTATACAAAAAAAAAAAGCCTTTTAAAGAGATAATTGTGATAAACATATTTTTTTATTAGTTGCAAATGCGTTAAAGTGTGCCTTAAGCACTAGTAGTTATAATTCACTTTTATATCAAAATTGTATTGGTTTACACAACTGGAGAGAGCTAAACTGTAGAAACCATGGTTCAAAGTCGTCGTCATGGCCCAGACCATTCCACATCAACCTCAGTATATCAGTTGCGATCTTAGCGAAATGCAAATTTTTGAAACATTTAATATTCTAAAAATTGTAAAAAATATATATATGATAAACAAAAATAATAAAAAATTAACAAAAATAATAAAAATTCGAGTTGACTCGGTATGACTCGTTGCGATTCAGCCGTTTCTTTCCGTCTCAAAGACATCTCGGCCGAGTTCTTGGTGACTCGGTCAAGTTTTCGACGATCCATTATCTCGAAATCATTTCGTCTCGGTATCGGAACGGAAAGTCCCGTTCCGGTGACGACTCAGTCAAGTCTTTGATCCATGGTAGAAAGTAGAAACCCCATTTCCCGTAAATTCAACACCCTTCATTAATATGGTAGCCAGTCAATGGCTGCAGACTACATCTCCTTCTATTCACCACACAAAGAGGAGATAGAGATAGGGAACGAAGATATTTGATCTGAAATCTGAGCAAAGCCTCGGCTAAACTCTAATGGAGAATTTTGATGAACTTGCACTCAAACCCGCTTGCTCCATCTCTTGTTGGGGAGGAAGGATACTATCTCCGGTTTGGAGAGGAGGTCAAGGACAAAGGTACATAGGTGAAATGTTGTTTGCAATTTGTTAGTTACATAATACTCCCCTCCTTAGTATCTTGATTGGCAATCTCACAATCATGTTCTTGATATAATTGGAGTCTTCATGTTGAAAATTCATGTTCCATGAAAATATCAGTATCAATATCGTAAATAGATTCAACATGGTCGATCAATCGTCCTATGGTCGGAATGGTTATATCCAATATTAAGAAATGTTAAGACCTAGCAGTTTTTACAGTTGGAATGGTCATATTTAGTATTATGAAATGTTTACACCTACATCAATTGAAGATATATTCAGAGAAATACTTGAATGGAACATGATAGTAAAAAGAATTGTCAAATAAATTAACAACTTTAAATTTAGCTCACAAAAAGATGTGTAAACAGAACTTAGCAAAGGATGTAAACCAATTGAAATAACATAAAATGACAATAAACAAGAGCCTTAGGAAAAAATTCAGATGGGAAAAGTTGCCCTTACAACACCAGAACAAACTAGTGGCAAAAGGATGTCAATCGGGATTTTCCTGTGTATTGATGTTTAGCACATGAAAGGAAATCACGTATTTAGTTTAGAGTAACTTTTTTTTACATATTGTCAGTGTATAATTTTTTTTTTTTACATAAGCAAATTTAGATCATATCACATAACATGAATTTAAATTTAAAATTCAAACCATGCATATATGACATACATTTAAAGCTACCAACGCAAAAAAACTCACTCCACTACGGGTGCATAAAAAAGTCTAGTAGTTTTCATGGCCAAAAGATTAGTTTGTAAAGACATTCTTTAGAAATTTATTTCTGTCTTACAAGTTTTTACAAAATTGGATTTTGCTCCTATAGAAAATTGAAAATCTTTAGAGATGTTCTCTAGAATTTTAAACTTTTATCTGACAACAACCTTAATAAATATTGTATTATATATTTAAGTTTAGATTTGTTAAATTTCACCCCCTCAACTTAAATTTTGTTTGATTCCATCCCTATTCACAATCCTATACATTGTTCTTAAACAAGCATTGTAAGATTAAATCAAAGCTTTGTTTTGACATAACCATCATTTATTTTATTTCTCAAAATTTCTTTTCCCATCAAAATAAAGAAGATATTCCGATTATGTGGAGTTTCATTTTTATTACGAGCTTATTGCTTAGAGATGGAATCTAAATTTTAAAGCTAGTGCAAAAAGCCTTCTATTTAATTTAATGCCTTGTTTAATAATTCTCATATAAACTTCACATATATTCGACTTTTTAGTTAATAAGTTCACAAGTAGTGCAACTTCAACTACAGTTTACTGCCAAAAAGGTTAGATTTGAGATTCTTTCGAGCAAGTAAATAAAGAAAACTATGAGCATTGCATCAACAAATCCAGTCAGACGGATTTCATATACATCACTAGATGATTCCCACAGAGGATCTTCTGTCCCACTTTTTTGTATAATTTTTTGTCCCAACATTTATTAAATCGCCATATATTCTTCATGAGCATCCAATTTGAATTTTTTCTTGTCCCTTAAGTTCCAACACTATTAACACAGTAGAATATAAAAGGTCACAGACTAAAAAAAAATAAAATTTAACTACAAAATGGGTTTTCAATAATTTTTTTGATATTTTTTGTTTATCTGTTATATATCCTTATTTAGTTTGTTATTTTTCTACACTATAAGCAATTATTCAAACTTAAAGGGACAAGAAAAAATTAAAATCAAATGTTCGTGAAGAATATATGGCGATTTAATAGATGTTGAGATAGGAAATGATATAAGAAGTAAGACAGAAGATCCTTTTGCAGACAATTCCTCAACAAAACTTAACAAGGAAAAATGATTCAACTATTTGAATGGTGTGTAAATATATTTAATGTGTATTTTATATGTATAGTTATATATGTTTATGTGTGTTTCGATGTTAGTTTGAGCTGAAAGAATCTACTTTTAGTTGTTTTTGTAATTTAATAGTTTAAGGAAAGAAAAGTGAAGAACTGATTGAATTGATACTTCAAAGTATGCATTTTGCTAGATGCTTGAGAAGTAGTAGTATTTTTTTTTCTTATTTGAAGTAGCACAAGTTGGCTGATGACATTGAACACAAATAGCTTTACCCTCAAAAAAAAAAAAAAAAAAACACAAATAGCTTTGGAAACCATGGAAAATACATGGAAGTGCTCAAGGAAACCCGCGCCGGTTGTTAAAACTGATTGTGGGCTGCTAGCAATTTAAAGAAGAGGCGGGATCCAAGTTTCGTAAAGGTAGTATATAGTATCTTTTTGCTAGAACTAATCACAGTTTTCACCCCTATCTAAACTTTTGAAATTTTGTACCTTTTTTCTTTTTACCCTTGATCCCCTCCCCATCCTTCCCAGTTCTCACCCTCAACAGTCAAATTTAAAATTCAAATCTTAAACTTAGCAGTGGAGAAAACTCTAAGAACCTTATCTTAATCACTGGACTAATCCCAACGATTGAATTTTTGTACTTAACCGCTTTAAACTTATAATTTCTAGCACAATTTTATTTAAGATGACACCAATAGAAAAAAGAGTGCTTATGACTGATGTGCACTCATATTTAGTGTGAACTATTAAAAAAAAAAAAAACCCAAAGTAGACTAATTTGAATTTTCAACAATATCCTGAGAACTCTTTTGCCATTTTCTTTTGCTTCCTTTTTCACTAAAAATCATCATCCCCTTTACACCAAACTACTTTCTCGTACACTCTCTCTTTTTGTTTTTCTCCCTGTGTGATTCATTAGTTTTCGCTCTTTTCTCCCACAAAAGAGTTCACTTCTCTCACAAAAGCTAGCTGTAACTTCAGGGACAAAAGTTTCCAAAGGTTGAAACTGTCCTTTTATAAACACATGGCCGACAAAAAATTCCAGGTGTTGAAAGTGTCCTTTCATAAATGCATGGCCGCCTGCAACTCGTTTCAGTCTGCCGGAGTTGTTTTAACCGGAGTGTATGTGATAAAAATTGTAAGTTCTAGGTATCTAAGTGCAAAAATTAGAAAGTGTAGGGGCCAAAGTTTTGGTAATACTGTGTGATAGTTTAGGAGAGGAAACTGCAATTAACCCTAAATAATGCAAAGCAAAATTTACTTTGTCACACCGTGCTCGTCTCTTTTTTTATTCAAAACTATTCTTGAAAATTGTTTGTTCTCTCCCTGTTTACTTCTAGCGATAGAAGTCAAGAAACTATCCCAGGGTGCTAAAAACTGAGAAACTCCAAAAACATTCTTCATTGGCATTCACCTTTCAGAGTTTGTGGACCTTAGCAATCCAGGCTTGAAAGGTACTGTATTTCTTCCCTCCCCTGTTTGCCCAAACAGGCAACAATTTAAATTGACCACCAAAAGGCCATTAGACAAAATTGTGCGAATGAGTGTGGGAGAGATGGTTGCTCAAGAGTGTGGAAGCAAGATCAGATAGAAGAGTGTCTAGGAGATGGAACTACTTCGAAATTGTGTGAAAGAGTCCCCTAGCTAATAAATACTCTTTAAGAATCCATATAGTATTGACACAACAAAAAAGCAGCAGCAAGCAGAGGCATTAGACAAAAGACCAGATTAACACCTTTCCCCATGCCCTGCTGTAGGTGTGAAAAGTGTAAGTATCAATTTTGCCGCTCTTTACATTTGCTTCAAAACTCAACTATATTTTCGAGCCTACACTTCTCCCAAAATGTGCATCTTCACCGCCAACTCCTCCTTGTTTTCTCTTAACTCTACACTGATCCCCCAGTTGCCTTCAAATCAACACTGTCATGCTGCTCTTCCTTCCCTATTGATTTCTTGCCGTCAATTTCATCGGTGCTCCCGTTGCATTCTTGCTGTTCCACCTTTTCACTGACTGCAACTTTTGGAGAAGCATTGTCAACTTTTGAATTCCCCTCCCTTTCGTCCTTTTCTGCAAGGGACGACGCCTCCATATTAGCATTTTCAGTTGCTGGGGTGGATATACTGGATTGATTTGCTGAATTACCAGAACCAGATGGAGGAAGAAAAACTCCAGTGCCAGGGACTGGCAACCGAGGCTGAGGGTGCCTTGGAGGGGCTGCTGGCCATGCAGCAGTAGCGGGAGGCAGAGCAACAGGTGCAGGAAAAGGTATGGCTGGGGCAACTGCAGCAGGGACAAAAATTGGCTGGATGCCATTTGGAGGTGGTAATGGTGGACGAGCAGGTGGAGCTGGCAATACACCATTTGTGGGCACTGGACCAAAAGGCTTTGGGCCGACAGGATGCCGAATATGATTAGGTGACCTGCCTGGAGGTGGAACCCAGTGAGAAGGAACTGGAGCAGAGGAAGGAAAACGTTGAGCATCACTGGATGTAATCTTCTTTGGCTGTGACTTTGTTAAGGTGACAAGAATGCGCTGTTTCCGGATGGAGGGGATTGCATGTCTGGCAAAATCCGAGGATCTTCCATCAAGTAGCATCAGGGATCTACAACATTTTCATGGTAGAAAGCTAATAGATTAACACATCAAAAGTTCAAAGCACAGTTAATTCTAGGATCAGAAGATACAAGACTATAAGCTGGCAATGAAACTCTTATAGTGATTCCTACCAAGAAACTAAAAGTAACACATAAGAGTGGCTAAGTATTGATCAATCTGTAATCGTCAGACAGGTTCCCATCACATAAAAGAAAATACTGGTAAGTTAATGCATCCCAACTTGCAAATGAACAAGATATTCCCAAAAAACAATGTTGCAGCAAAACTCAAAGCTCCAAGGAAAAGCCACACCCCAACAGGAAGAATAAATGAAAAGAATCCCAATGAACTTATCACGACAGCAAATGGAATATATGAGAAACAAAATTAACAGGAGTAAGAGCAGTACCCAGGTGTAAGCGAAAGTCTCAAGGATCCTCTGTAATCCCCTGGATGATCTATCCCAATTACCTTGCCAAATGTCATTTCACAATCTGTCAAGAACAGAACACACACTGGCCTTCCGAACCAATGAGGCCATGTATGTGGCTGTGAGTGATCACCCTGCAATTAAACAAGAAATAAGTCGATGATTCTGCATAGGAGTGTCCAAATCTCACATATTTTTTGAAAGGAAAATAATAAGTTCAAACCTCATTGAATATGTCAACAATGCAAGAGTCTGGCTTCACACTAACAACTTGCAAGGCAACCAAACGTTCAATAATATCTTCAAACAAGCTAGGGATTGGTTCCATTTTCCGATCTGCAAATTAATCTTTAGTTCAATTAAGATATCTAAGAGTCATGACATAAATTCTCATTGTAACAGCTAAAGCAAAACAAATTGTTTCACAACTGGCATTAATTTGACCAATATGGACATGCCTTTGGAGGTCCCTGATGAAGCCTCATCTTCAGGTGGTGCATCTGCAATGGGCGGGCCAAATTGAATCATTTCCCTGCCGTGACCCTTCATGGGTCTCCTAGAGACCACAAATGTTTGTCCTGCTTCTTGACAAACAAGAAATGAGAAATCAAGACATCGTATATGCAGGCTGTCAAAGTTGGAAAGTACAAGAACACTGGTCCATAATGCTACAACTGGCATCATCAACTGAAAAATAGAAGGACATAATTTCTCATGAGCATTGTTATGACAAAGCACTACTTTACTTTTTTGACGAAGCATTGTACTAGTCTACAGTATATGTCCTATAAACCTTCAGCAACTAATGCAATAGTGCATATCCTTCCACTACATTTTCAAAGCAAAAACAAAAAAAAACAAAATTTGAATGCAACTTTAGTTTACACAATCAACAAAGCCAAGATCTTTACATTGACAAAAGAAGCACCAAAAACCATTAACCAGAAACCAGGTTTATGGCCCTAACAACATAACTTCTTGTGTCATCACAGAACTATTACAAGTCCAAATGGGAACCATAAATGAAGAAATGACCATTTTCAGTTACATAGTCGTCATGAAGTCACCCATCCACCTTTCATTAAAAGAAGTTATTACAACCATATCAAAATGCTCTGACAAATAAATAAATAAATCACCCCCGGGGGGGGGGGGGGGTGATTTGTTTAAGGTGCTGTCCAGCTATCACTGTCATCAAGTTAGGAAAAACCATCCAATCAGGTTCAGCATTGAATAAACAGATCTCATAGTTGTAACACGTAGCAAATGATGATCAAGCAAGAAAGTAGTACATTTTTTTTTTTTTTGTTGGTAAAGGTAGGGTGGAAGGTAAGTTTTGGCAGCAGTATGGCCAAGCTTCTTGTGATCCATCTCTTATAACAAACAAATGCAAAGAAGCTAACAAGGTTGCATCTAAGCAAATGATTCAGCACATTCAAAAAGGGAACTGAAAAGAGGGGGAAAGAGAGAAAAGTATAATATATTCAGGTTTACATCCGTTAATCCTTAAGACTATTTTCATACAAAGAACAAGAAATACGTTCATAAATTTTGTCCCACAAGTCATAGTAACCAGTGAGAAGTACAGGATGACCAACAACCATGTTATTCAGCTCAATCTCACATGCAACAACAAATAAACTTCTCGTGCATAATGCAGCATGTACTTATCAACTGGACAAATCCTCTCCTAAAAAGGTGAACCCAAAAAAAAAAACTATCATAGCGAACGAGAAAACAACTTTCAACTCAGCATTATTCAAAAACTTTCATTAGGAACAAGATTATAAGAAAGGACTGGACATTAAGAATGTCACAGCCAAAACACCCAAAGTGTCGTTTGCTCTTTCGAAAGAAACTTCCTGAAAGCAGAAGCAGATTGACTGATCGTTAGGGAAGCTTTATAAATTAAACCATCCAAAGTACAGCTTTCAAAAGAAACTTCCAAAAAGCAGATTATTGAGTGCTATGATCAAATTGCAATCAATACAAGAAATCAATAGAGTGTTATAGCATGCCATACACTGGACTGCATTATCTATTGAGACTTGAGAGTGAGTGCAATTGCACAAGCATAATCGCAAAGCATTAGCATGCTATACGTTAGGTGGCATTGTCTTTAGAGGTTGAGGGCAGCTGCAGAAGCACAATCCCAGAGCTCAAGCTCTTGTTCTCTAGTTGAACAGATGCTGTCATCTAGATTATGAGCAATTTCTTTTTTTATTCCAATCAGAAAGGAGAAAATGTAAATTACAACCAAGCAAAAAAAATGAAATTTTCTACGCTAATGATCTTGAATTTCTTTTGCTAAAAGTGTTGATTAAAGAAATTCCACATATCTTGTTCCTGAAATATAAATCCAGAGAAGTTCTAGTTTCTTAATTGCAATAGCATCAAGGATGAAGAACTATGTTTTGAGACATCAAGATCCCTTAGCACAACAAAGCTTGAAGATGGTTTAAAAGAAATGTTAGCCCAAATAAAATGACCTCAATGGAGTGTTTTCTGCTGCATTTTGCATTTTTAGGGCTTGAGATTTGGTGTATTAAGACCTAAATGTCCCAGCATCAAAAGGGAAAAAGACTCCATGATGAGACCCAACACAAGCAACTATAACACAAGAAGCAACTAGGCTAATATTGTCCCAGTGCTGCATTCCTTCAGCTAACATTATATACTGACACATAATATGCTATGCAAATCTGAAAAATGATCATGCAAACCATAAAAAGGACACAATGATAAAACATGAGTAAATTAACAATTCAGTAGTTAATGCCATCCGTCACATGAACACACTGAAAGAATAAATGCATGATACAACACTTTTACGTTTATTTTAGTGTTGAATTTTGCATACTTTGAAAAAAGCATCAAATAGTCAGGGAAATTAAATACTAAAGAAAACAAGGAACTTGCCCTGAAACTGTCCTCTTTTCCCAGCAACTCTCAAGTCATTTACCAATGCAACAAGTTTTGAAACTTCTGAGTTATCAAAAATTTCTTCGTATAGTTTCAGTCCATCAACCACATTAACCTATAGCAGCGACTGGCCCAAGTCAGTTGTAACAAGGCTAAACAACTAAAAACTAAGATCTTGACAAACCAAAATCTCAAGTGCAAAGTGGGAGCAGAAAATTACCGTTTTTCCATCAAATGTCTCATTAGCAACAAATGTTTTTGGAGTAACTGTAAGGTTCTGCTCTTGTTGTGGTATGCGCTCAGAGTGAGTATCATTTTCCACGTTACATGAACCTTCAACAGCAAAAAATAAAAAATAAAAAACAAACAGAGGACATTAAAATCTATTTGTCATGATCAAATATGCATCAGAGAAAGAAGGAAGAAGAAGTCAAGGAGGCACAAAAACATATACACATGCATATACATCCAGAACATAAAGCACATCAAAGGCACAACAAATAGTAGAATAAAGTTATGCGCTAGGATGTAGATGTTCACTCAAAATTGAAGTGACTGCTACAACAAGTGCAGCTGAGTTTCCAGACCACATTAAATATGGAAGAACCAGCAATCACACAAACAGAGAGCAGCTTTCAAGTTAGAAATATGTCAATAATCTAAAATTTTCTCCTCAAGCTCCGACTAACCAGAGGAGACTGCTTGTCTGCTTCCTGTGACTTCAACTGAACTATCCACTTCAGGTTTGACAACTGCCTCTGTCCCAATACCAAGTAACTAAATATTAGTACTGTATTAGTTGAAAACTTCCTAACAAGAAAATACAGTAAGAGAAAGTACTTAAGAGGATCTCAAATCTATGTCCAAGTTTTATGCATAGCAACAGACACAAGCTACTGCAAATACACCAACCATAGCATGACATTAGAAGAATTCACGCTTTTCACCTTATGCCACTTAAGCAAATTCAAACAAAAAAATAGCAGATTAATTGCCAAATATAAGCCTCTGTCAAATTGATGAACAGAATTCCTTTAAAGACGATAACAGATAATCTGGTTGTGATAATTCTAGGTTAAAATGTCAAACAAATAATAGATATACTGCAAAGTAAGGGTCACTTTTAGAATGCAGCTAATTTTCTGCTATGAAGATCGCGCAAATTTATCGGCTAGCAGTTATAATAAGAAAAACAGTAAAAGCATACCATCAATGCACCATCTGAGGAAGCATGAACTGCAAACAAGGCAAGAGGCATTTCAATCTAAAATGGATTCTCTAGATGTTCTAGACTTCAAGAATACTCAACATGCAAATAATCCTTGAAAAAGTGTAGCTTTGTTAAGTTAAAAACTATAGGCAAGACTACCAAGAGTTCTATCCGAAGACATGGTAACGCTAAAAAAAAATCCACAAAACTACCAGTTACTGCCGAAAAAAATGAAAAAGGTAAAATATATTAGAGAACAAAGGTCATCAAATTACCACTTTGACTTTGAAAGTTTCAGTGTTGATACCAGCAAATAAGCATAATCCAAAAAGAAAAACTAAATGAATGAAAATAAAGATGAAAATGACAATTATTGCCAGGCCATTTCTAGCAAAACTGTGAAGGTACTAATATTTATCATGATTTCAGTTCTCTTCTGGTGCATAGATGAGGGCAAGGTTAGTGCATCTTATCAAGACACCAGAAATAGATTAACCTCATCTTTCAAATGTAAATGTTAAGTGAAGGCTACTATGCTTCATAATCACTAAGAGATAACAGCTACGAACATACAGGGAAAGAGAGATAAATACAAAATAAAAGCAAATTTCATACAAAAGGAGTACATGCAAACTATGAATCTGTGATCTACTCTGATGTTTAAAAACAGAGCTTCCATACAGTAAATAACAACTTTCCATTCAGCTAAAACTTATTAACCACTCAACCATATCTCATTATCAACAAATGGCAACCCAATTTCACTAATTATAAAAAGTTATCCAAAACCATTATTGTCGTGTTATTTAGCCAGAAATGGAAATAGGTCCACATTCTAATACTAATTACCACTCTACACTCATGAATGCAAAACAACCAAAAACCCTTCATCGAATAAGAAAGGATACACGCATATCAATCCCATATAACCAATCATTATTTCACAAACACTAAATCACAATCACGTAAACCGCAATGGGAATGCATAAGATTATTCTTTGACAAATCATATGCAGGTGAACAAATTATTTTCTAATTTCTCATTTCCCATTACTCACCTTTCTTCTCCTCCACCTTTCCATTCCCTACTCTTCCCTCACCACTCTCCAAATTCTCATTCCCATTCACATTCATTTCCTTACCGTTCACTAAAGTCCCTTCATTATTACTCAAATTTTGCCCATGTTGACCCTCTTTCCCTTCTTTAAACCCCTCCCATCTCTGCCCTCCCCTCCCACCACCACCCCTCCTATACTCTTTCCCCCCTTTACCACTCCCTTCAAAACCCCCCCTCTGCGACTGATTCCTCCTCCATCCCACTTGCTGCAACGCATAAGCCACTTCATTCACAGAAAAATACTGCTGCATATGCAAAACTGAATTCCAATTACACCTCCTTTGCTGTATGCATCCAATCACCCCATCATACTCCCCTGGCTCTCCCACTACCCTCAGATGATGACACAATGCATCAATTATCGCATTCGCCGCTGCAAATTCCCCCCTTAACCATAACATAAACCCCTCCCTCTCATCCATTTGCACCAAATGCTGCTGCCCTGCAGGCTGATAATTATGCCACCATTGTTGCCCCCTCCCCTGCTGCTGCTGCTGCATCATCATCATCTCACCACCACCGCCGCCTCCCCCGTGCATTTTCTCCGTCACCACCGCATTCCCAGATTGCATTGCCATCAACATACAACTATACCTAACAATCTACCAGTCAAATTAATGTTAAAAACCAGTTCTTTCACTTATAACTAAAATTCCAAAAAATTTCTTTAACTCATTGCTGGAAGCAGATCTGGAGGAAAGCTGAAAAGGGATTGTAAAACAAGCAAAAATATGAAAAGGGTTGGTCTTAGATCAGTGAAAGAAGTAAACTCTGATGGTTCTTGCGAAAATGTGCGTGTTTTGTGTATGTTTCTGTGTGTGAAAAAACTGTTTATGGGGAAGTGGGGTTTTAGTTTTTAGATCTGGGGTAGAGTGGAAATGAGAGTGACGTAAGTTTGTACAACTCTACATATGTCCTAGTGCGTGTTTTGTAGTGTGTGAAGTGTGTGTTTGAAGATCTAGGTTTGAGAACAAGGAAAGAAAAGAGAGGAGGAAGATGGAGAATTGGCTTAACGAGCACGCGGAAAATGGAGGAGAAAAATTGCAAAAGAAATTAGGATTGTTAAAAGAAAATCTAAAGAAAGTTTCAATTGGTGGTTTAATGGTAGCTCTTGGGAGTTTGTACTGAACAGTCTCAAAATGGGGTTGGTGGGCTCTTTGAGCAGCTTGGTGGCACCTTGCTGCTGCCTTCTTGGCTGCTTCTGCCCTTTTTGTTTCTTCTTTTGTTTTGTTAAATTTTACTTTATTGGGAAATTTTAGGTTTCTTTTTATTTAATTTTGCTGTTGCAGTATTTGGTTTTTGCTAGAATCATGAGGAACTTTTATTGAATAGTAAATTGCTCTGGAGAAAAATAATTTGGGTGTATAGAGGGAGGGGGAATACAAATTGTGTACCTATGACTTGAACAACAATATAATGTCAGAAAGTGGAGTCAATAATTCATTCAATTATAACAAAGGGAATTCAACCCTAGAAAATTGGAACCAATAATTTTCAAAGTCTAAATAGCTTGCTTGAGAAACAAAAGGCAATTACTTGTGAATCTATAGCATAAAGTAGCGTAATTTACGCATTTGGACGTATTTTCATCACACTTTTTGACGCGTATTGCTAATTAGGATGTTATATTTAAAGCTACTAACAGTTTGGCAATTTAACAGTGAGAAAAAATAATGAACTACTCATAAAATTACTATATATTTGTGGTTATGTTAAAAAACATTCCTTTTTTCCTTTGAGGGTATTGACTATGACAAAAATGGATTCCAAGCAATTAATTTGATCACTTTTAAAGTTAATTTAAAATACTACTAGTTACCAAGGATGGAACGTGACATATAAAAAAAGGGACGTAACAGGGACGAAAGAGTTACACACACATATGTAGGAATTAATTTTTATACACTATCAGTAATAAAAAAAATTTTGACACAAGCAGCTTAGATAAATGCCACATCATCACTTTTCAAATTTAAATTCACATTTTGTTCATGTGTCGTATATTTATATCTATTATTATAAAAAAATCTTTACACTGATAATGTATATAATATTAATTCATATTTGTATATATATTTCAACTACTTAAATTAAAATTTCGGTTCCATCCCTGCCGGTTGCATGTGCCAGACTGCACCTTAGATACGGTGTGAGAGGGGAATATTCTATTTCTAGGTGTGCATGGCTGCTTTTGTAGTTGGGAGAGGAAAATCTTGGACAATTAACTGTACTAATTTTGACTTTTGGCGATTGTTTTGTTGTTTAACCAAGGATTAAGTGCAAACCATAAAAGCCGTTTTGTTGTTTAACCGAGTATTAAGTGCGAAGTACAAAAGCCAAAAGTTGCTTTTTGGTCCAATTCGGATTTGATAGTTTGGTAGAAAAATTTTGAAATATTCTCTTGATATATTTTTTGATCACATTTTCATCCTACGTTACATCATTGAGGTATAATTTCCAAAAAAAAAAAATTAAAAGGTTACCATCCAGATGGATTACTTGATTAAGAACTAAATCTCCATTACCGTCCAAACGGGTTGCTTGTTTAAGAGTTAAAACTCCATTATTATTAACCTCTCCTTTTGACAAAACTAACAATTTGGTACTACTTGTTATCCAAAAATAGTTGCAAAGAGCTGGCAACTACCTTTTGGTCAAACATGAAATAAATTTTGCCTAATCTTAGTTAGGCCCGCGTTGATTTAAGGGATTAGTACTACTATAAACACTTGTCTAATTCATATTAGGCCTCATAACCTGCATTTTTTAGGAAGGTTCAGCAAAGACAAAGGATGATAGTTGTATGCCCGGCAATTGGCCGGGTTGGGTGGGTTTTGAGCGGGTTAATATTAGGTTTTTATTTAAATGGGTTACACCCGACCTGTCCAACTTTATATTGGGTTAATCTTGGATTGGGTTATATTAGGTTATCTCAAACCCATGATCCAAATATGACCCAATATATTAAATAATAGATTTTGATACATAAACTTTCTCAAATATATTTTCATATACAAAAAAAAAAAATTCACACACATGAATATATTTTCACACACTAAAACACTTACAGATGCAAGCACACACGGATTTGTTTGGATAAGAATTTATTTGGATGATTTATTTGATCCAATTACTGTAGCACTTTTTGTGGTGTGATGTATGTGAGATAAAAAGGTGATTGGGAATTGTGTGTATGATGCAAGCAAAACAAAATCTGAAATTTTTATTCCAAATTCTTGTTGAAATACAAACACACTAATACACTTTTTAAGTCCTTTTGAAATACATTATTTTTACACATACAAACACACTAAAATACACACTAATACATTTTCACAAATACACACATATACTAATTGTTTAAACTACTTGGACCCAATCATATTTTAAAGAAAGTTATGGGTAATGGGTGCACGTCGGGTAATGGGTGCCTAACATAAATACCCAAACCGTCCAAAATGTATATAAATTTTTATTACCCAACTCAAAATTAACCCAAAACCCAACTTACCCAATCCAACCTTTCAAATTAGTGGGTTGGTTGGATGGATTGTTGGATTTTGGATATAATTGACAGCTCTAATCCGTTGGTTGGCGCAGTCCTACGCGTCTTTGATATCCATTATCCCTCCCTTTGCAGAATAAAACCAGATCCAAACAAGCAATTTTATTAATGTCGTGATTGGAACAAAGGATTTTCTTTCCAATTTGGGGGTTAATTAGTACAAGCCTTAGAATTCCTATTCCTTTTGGAAAGGAATCTTGTAACTCATTCGGTTATGTTCATTATTCAACTATTTAAAATTTGTTAGCATAAGTTGTTTCGTTGGGATTGCTATTTTTTGGGATTTTTATAGAAAAGTGTAATTTAACGATTTAATATATGTGAAATATAAAGGTAATTGGAAATATGTTCACAAAAAAAGTAAAAATTTTTGAAAAAAAATGACAATCCAAACAATTATATTGGCCACTATATATGGAAGCTCTGACCAATTTCTTGTGCTCTTAAAGCATATTTTCAGTTCAATTAAAGTGATTTTTCATTACCACAAAATAAAAAGAAAAATGGAATGATAGCCAATTTCAGGACAAATAAAGCACGATGGTTCGAGTTGAGGACTTTGTTGAATAATAGATTTAAGAGAAAACTGATATACATCGGGTTAAATAACTCTCTATATGTGATACATGTAGGATCAAGGAAAATAAATTTTCTACATGTGAGTTGCTTAATGTAATTATATGCTAGTATTCTTTTCATCACTTGTGAGTTGGTTAGCACAACGGATCTTTTGTCTCATTTTATGTGTCACTTTCTGTCTATTTTTTTATTATATTGCTATTTTTCTTTCATAAATATTGTGTTTTAATTCTTTTTTATTTTCTTAAAATTCAACAATATTAATTGAACAAAAACTAAATACAATAGTTTCAAAAAAGTAATATATAATAGAAAAGTAAAAAAATGTAGCAAAAAATTCATAAAAAAATCTCACTTTTTTGTGTATTTTGAGTTTGTTAAATTTTGTGTATTACTTAATTAATATTTGTTGAATTTTAGGGAAGCAAAACAAAATTAAGATATGATATTTATGAAAAGGAAATAATAATATAATAAAAAATGTGGCATAAAGGATGAGACACAAGATCCATTGCAGTTGGATAGTAATATAGTTGGGATGTATATTTGTTGTATAATGCTATCAATCCTACCATTGTACATTAATCAAATTTTTATTAAAAAAAATAATTTTTTCCGTTTTGGCTATTGGACTTGCTCTTAACCGTGTTGAATGGCATTGTCAAGATGTTGAAATGTGACAATCTATGCTAAATTTAAGGGCGAATAGGCCCAATAAAGGACTTTGGTCAAGGCTTTGTGATCTTCATGAATAAAAAACTATCCCTCAAGATACAGGGGCCAGCAGCTTGAAGGAACTTATGAATCAGAATTGGCAATTCTTTGACTAGTCAACCCACGGCGGGTCAATCAAGGGCAATAGATCACTTTGTCGTGAAAGATTTAATTTTTATAGTTAATACGAAAATTTTATTGATAAATATTAATAATAATTTATACAAATATCACAAGACATCCACTATTACTAAGA